CCTTATTGGGAAAGAAATGGTTTGATATATAAAATCAATAGCATACCTACAATAATTCAATTTAGTTATTCAACGTAGATGGTCTTTAGGACAAGATGGTTGAAGCGCTTTCTTGATTTTCAGCTGTCCTTTCATTGATCATATTGGTGCAACTTCTTAGCATGAGAAATTTCATCAAGTTTTATCAACTCGACGATAAATTTAGAGTAATCGTAAAAGGAGCTCAAGAGAAAGAGGTTCACCATTCACACTTTGCAAAGGAACTTAACTCTGTATTTGAAAGATGTAATCGAGTAAAGTGGATCCAAGAAGCACACACATCCAAGATGATGGAAAACTTTGGAGTGACTAAGTTGTTGTAGTTCTGGATGCATCTTACTGTGTTTAGGTTTCTTAATAGATGCGTACTTAGCCATACATGAAAAGTATTCATTAAGAGAGATGTACTTTATGCGCTATTGTCAACATTGACTTGGATGCAGGAGTGTTTTCATGAATTGCTTTGGAGGGCTACAAATGACTTGCAGTGGTCATAATTGTGTTTTGTTGTAGTGGATAAGTTCTCAGTGATGATTATCTTCATGAATTATAAATAGAACGTAATAATTGAAGAAGTAATTTTTATTTTTTTTTCAAAAAAATTGGGTGCATTTTAGATTCCCCAGTCCAACATTTTAACTGCGAGATTTTCATTGTCTTATTAGTTTTTAGAAGTCGCTTCAAGTACTTTAAAAAGAGGCTTATTCCACTCGCAAATACATAACTAAATTAAGGTTGCCAATTAACCTTTTATGTGTTTGCTTAGAGGATTTAACTCTAGACATATGAAGAGATCAGATGAAATATTACAATGCATCCAATCCACTTTTAATAGATAACATATAGTTGATCAAACCAAGCTTCATTTGAGTCGTGCTTTAATAATTTGCTCTGAAGTTTGTTTGTCTTGGAATCCATGATTGAACTAATGGCATTCATCAAGTGGAAGGATGCTTGTCTTGAAAAGGCTCAATGATTCCTGGAAGGAATTATGAAAATGCATGAAATGAGGGAATCAAGTATGCATCAGAACTAACATATTTCTTTCAATTTATTCAACTCAAGCCCTGGCAATCAAGAAAAAAATAAATTAAACGAGCAATCAGAACACAAACTAAACACACAAGTTTGCAAGTGCATGTGTACAATTTATATAAGATGTGACAAATTAATGTGCGAGTAATCAAGTTTTAACTATAATTTCTCGTTTTTATGTTAGCAATTATATAGGGGGTGAATGGGGAGTGCATCCGAACTAATAATTTTCTTAAAATTTATTTCAACACAATCTGTCACATTTGAGCACACACAATAACACAAATATGCAATTAAACAAACAAATTAAACATTTAGTGTACACATGTAGGTATACAAGATGTATATGATGTGGTAAACTAATGAGTGAGATCTAAATAATATTATACCCAAGAAATTTTCAAACACTTTTAGTAACCAAGATAACCTACAAACATACAAGCAAACATGTTTGATGGTATTCTATCGAAGATAAACTATATACATGAATAATAAAATTGGTAAGCTCCATGCAATGAATTTATTCAGCCATTCTTATGAATCATTTAAACCAACGACACTAGAGACTCTAGTGATTGTTCACTTTTATGAATCACTTATTCAACAAAACTAGAGACAATTGTGATTGTCCACTTTTGTGAATCACTTAATTCAATAACACTAGATGATTATCCACTTTTATGAATCACTTAATCAACAAAACTAGAAAGACTAGTGATTGTCCACTTTTTGGATCACTTAATTCAACAACACTGGAGACACTAATGATTGCCCGCAAATAAATAGATATGATGATTAGAAAGATATATGCTACAATTGGCACAACTTTCTATGTTTTTCTCTATGCAAGGCTTATTAACATTAAGCATATGAATCGTTCCAATAACATGCAAAACTACAAATCAAACAATTTAATATGTAATATTAAAAGATTTAAGCTAAAGATCATGAGATATGTACTTTTTACATAGTTCAACACTCAACTTGCCCGCATCTACATATAATTTTTACTTGAAATAGCACCTGCTAAATTCTTTCTTTTTAAAAAGTAGGGAGATGAGTCTTTCAACTACATTTGTTCAGGGGTAAGGTATTCACTTTTTGTCTTGTTAAGAGCATCTCAACTCACAAGATTGCAATAAACTATGCTAATAAAAATTTCTTTCCTTTTTCAAGACTTTGGTGGTGAACTAAGGCTATAAATTAACAAATACAAATGAAAAAAACCTCTTAGCTGTTTAGAGTGCAAAGTATATAATAAGAATTATTTACAAAATTTCCTTGATATTGAAATGGAGATCTCTATAAGTATAAATAATGAGTTTTTAATGCTTTAATTTCTTTAATTAAATGCTTAAAATAATTTAAACATGGAATCACTTAATATTTCATCATCTCCCTTAGCTTTTTTTCATTATATCTCTTATTTACAGGCAAATAATATCTATCAGAACCTTCCAAAATGTCTCCTAAAAACTCCTCAAAAAGTCCTCATAAAATATCCTTTCAACGATTAGAAAAAAAACTAGTTGTTGGGTTGGTATGTGATCTTAGTATTATTAAACTAGGTCGTGCTCGGTGCACATTGATTTGCACAATTTGGGAAGAATACTAATATTTTAAAACCTTAAACATTCTAAAGCATTCTTTTTTCTTTACAAGCTTATTATATAATATATGAAATCATATACATGTTACTCGTTGAATCCAAGGGAACATGAATTTAAGTATTATATAGTTTCCTCTTTAGCTCTAATAAATATTCAATTATGTTAGATTTTCAAATATGTCAAATGTGCTTCATTTTTTTTTTATTGTGTACAAACATTTATGTTCTAATAAATTATTGTGGAAATTAAAAAAAATCACAAACTTTGAAGCAACTCATAAGATATAATTTTGTTTTTATTAACATAGTTAGGCATGATTTACATGTACTTTGCATCTTTGGACGTGTTGATTTTACTTGAGCACATGTGCAGATTGCAAATGAACCAAAGCTAGTTTAGCAAATAAGATTGTCATTTCAGCGGTTAATATTTATATGAATTTCTTTTAGAAATATGCGACTATATAACATTGCATTAGATTTGCTATCATCAAATTAATATTCAGCCACATAATAACCATTTAGGCTTATGGGGTCAACAAAAATAACTCTATAAGTATGAATAGAGCTATAAGCTACGACATAATTGTAGCCGAGTAGAAAATAGCTTGAAGATCTCATTTAGTTCAACGCCAAAGAAGAGAGATTGAAAGGCCATGACGGCAAAATTAAGCCAAAATTTTAATGTACCATTTAATATTCTCTAGATTATCAATGATAATGCATGTGAGGTGGAGCCACCCACTTATGGGGATATCCTCTCCATTGTGAATGTTAAAAATTTGAAGCCATTTGAGCCCTTTATGTTGGATGAGGTGGTCAAGTAGACCCTTTCCCATCTCACTGGTTTGCTTTTATGTTGATGTAGAGCGGTAGAAGTTAAGCTATTAGAGAAGAGAACCATAGTAACCTGTCGAGCTACTATGATGCTCTTATACATCAACAAGGAGGGACATATGGTCTCCAATGCTATGTGATACATTCTTTAGAAAAATATTTTTATTTCCTTTTCTTCCACTAGACTCATAGGAGTGAATCGCTTTTTAAACGGGACATCTTATTAAGAGGATCGAGTCATTGATGAAAAGATTTTACGTAGCCGAGAAACTTGGTTAGAAGTCATGGGGATTGAGATTGTTCAATTTTACCTAGTGAAGTTCATTTTGTCGATTGGATTGTTGACAAATGCTTAAAATGCCCATCTCACATAATCATCAAATGCAATGCCACATCTCCTCTCTAAATAACATCTGGTTTTTGCAATTAGTCCTTTTCGTGTACTAGATTGCAACTATCAATTACGGTGCCTTCTTAACAAACTCTAGTTCCTGATTTTAAATTAATAGATTGTAGCTGTTTTTCTGCCTTTTTGAGCACCACCTCTTGTATTTGATTCTCTTCATCTACAAAGGGAATGCTAAGTTCGATTATTTTGGATCACTGAAGGAGTATTGGAGTTTGAAAATGAAAGCAGGGGTGTGCAATCGTTTAGTTCAGTGGGATCGATTGATAAATTCGTTAAACTGTATAAATCAAACTAAATAACATTCAAAACTAAACTAATAAAATTAGATGTTGAACTGAATCAAATTAAATCAAAATATAACAATTATTAGGTTTGATTTTAGTTTAACCGAATTTTGAAATCCAAATGAGGATGTGTACATTCGGTTAGTTTAGATTGATTGGTTAACAAATTTGTTAAACTAATTGGTTAATGGAATAACTTAACTGCAATATAATTTATTTTTTTGTTTAATCAATTTTTTTTGGGGTTAAATAGCCTTTTTTTCTAGAACCAAAAACAATCCTTGGTAGTATAATAGAACTGAATCAATCAAATATGCCTGGTTCGGTTTTAGTTTTTGGTTTCAACCAATTAATGCACACTCCTAGATGAAAAAGAGAAATAGATAAAATAGTGGGTATGTAAGTTTATGGAAAGAGAATTCCCCTTCATCCTCTTATAGAACCTGGGTTCTCCAATGAAAGAACCTTTTTTTCTGCTGCTATTCATCCTTACCTTATTATCTATATTTTGCAGCCCATCTCTCTTTTTTGTGGTTTTTAAGACAAACCCTTGATTAGTTGTCCTTTTTCAGTTGAATTATTTTATGGATGAAAACGAATTAGTAACAAGCAAAGACATTATTGTTTATTTATAATTTCATAAATGAACGGCGCAAATGTACACAAGGATCTGGGCAATTAGCACTTTCTATACTAGATCATCATACTGCTACGAAAGGTTTATTAATAGTCATACATTTTTTATTTTATTTTATTTTATTTTATTTTTGTCTTTTGTCTCATTCAGCTTTGTGTAATGGCAAGAGATATGAATATGAAGGTGAGGGTTGAAGCTTTTTCTGCCATGGGAAAAGTACAAGGCGTCTCAGAGAACATGCTATTACAATCCTTGTCTAAGAAAATCTTGGGAACTCAGAACATTGAAAATACTCTTGTTGAACATACTCTAAGAAATTCTAAATTTCCTTTCTCTTCCTCAGCAGGAGCTTTTGTGCATGGAATTGAGGATGAGTTCCATGAGGTATAACTTGATAATGCTTGTTATGCTATAATACCTTTTTTTTTGTGACGTGAACTTGTGTTTAGGCTCATTTAAAGTTGTTAAAGTGCGCTCTTCATGTCTGCTTCTTGGACAATCTGTCCAACTAAATTTATTTCCGTATCTAAAAGGTGCGAATGGTCGCATGCAAATCAATTGGGATTCTCTGCATTCTCTCTATCCACTTCTCAGCTGCTGCATTGGATTTATTGTTGGACACTTTAAATGACCACACAGTAGCTGTTCGTCACCAGGCTTTGGAAACATTGCATCAAATGGCAGCAAATGATTGTTTGATTATTCAGGAAAAACATATGCATATGGTATGCTCTTGGTTCCTAACTTATAATTTAATTTATTTAATCATCTATAGTATTTTGTAAGGCAGAACACAATTTGGCAACGACTGAAAACAAACTGAGCCAATCAGATCTAGTTGGTAGCAATTTACTTAAAGACCGTTAATTTCGAGAAAATTTAGTCTCTAGGCCTATATTCTTTTGTCTTTTTTTTTCTTTGGTCTTTATAAAATTTTTGGACCAAAATAGCTGATATATATATATATGAACAATGGCGGCGAGCTCTTCTAGGGTTTCGCCCGATGGTGAAACCCAGCGTTAACCTCCGGCTTCACTCCATCGTCTTCGTGAGTGGCTACTGTTTCGTCGGCTTCAGATACAATCTCGCTCGCTGTTTACCGAGCCTTCTTCGTTCTCGGTTGTCTTCTCTGGACAGGTACACCAACACCGTGTCGTCGCTGTTTCTAGCTGATTCGATGTTTCCGTCGCTTCGCCCTCGTCGCACGTCGCTGTTGCTGCTTCGCACACCGCTTGTCGTTTGCGTTGAGTGTCGTTCTCGGTCGCTGCGTCCTGCTGCTCAGCGACAGTGCGCACGCAGTGAGGCACCGACCAAGGTGATGGCGTCAAGGGTTCTTTCCTACGCTGTCACCCTCGCCGGTGATAACCCCGCTCCCGCCCCTCTTTCGCAGATGTAATGTTTTCGCAAAGTTACCACGATAATTTTGCTCTTGGCATTGAAACCGACATTCTCAAAAAGCTTCCCGTAAAAATGACAAACCTGCAATCTTTCTCACAGATGTCGGGATCTCCACCCTAGCTGTGCCCTGCCGTCTGTTTTTAGTAGGTAAGTTTCTTTATGGAAACCCTAAACTTGAGCTAATTCAAAAGGATTTTGAGCAAATGAAGCTGAAAGGGGGTTGGAAGATTGGTAAATTGGATAGTCGACACGTTCTCGGTCGACACATTCTCATTCAATTATCAAATGATGTAGACTACGCTCATTTGTTTGCGAGAAGACTCCTTCGAATAGACAACCAGTTGATGAAAGTTTTAAAATGGACGGTGGATTTTGACCTCGTAGTGAACCTCCTACCATTCCTGTTTGGCTGCGATTCTTAGGTTTGAAGGTCCACCTTTACAATCAAGAGCTCCTATTCGCTTTAGCGATGGTATACGGTAAACCTCTCAAAAATGATAATGATGATAGTGACATTTCCATTCTATAATGAATGTTTGATTTATGTATTAATAATATCACACCCCGAATTCGAAAGGCGGTACAACTTGGCAATACAAGACTTGATGTAAAAAATTGAACTTATTTTGTATTCACAAAAGGGAGATTCTATGCAAACAATAACATGAATAAGCAAGAAAATATAAATTTTATTCTATTGTTAATAGTCCATTGGTACAACTTAAAGAAAAATTGAAATGACAACAGGGAACAAGTGCCTAGACCCTAAAAAAAAAACGAGGAAATGCAAAAAACAAGAGAACTAAAACTGAAAAGTTTTCTCCGGTGGAGGCCTACTTGCTAGTGGCTGAATAGAACTAGTTATGTAAAAATATTAACGAGTGAGTTTGATAAACGAACTCAATAAATAACAACTGTTTATTAAAGCGCAAACAACATAAAAAATAAAACATGCAGTATGATCAATAAATATGGACAATTATGCATATATAACGTCATAAAATCACAAGTGCTGAAACATGAATATGCTCAATTATGAACATACAGTTATTTCCAATCCAATAAAATCATATAATCACATAACTTAATAGCTTATTCAATTTATATTAATATAGTTTGTTTAACACGCCCTGAAATTGGGAAGATCAATGCTAACCCAAAGAAACACGGAGATATACTATAAAGTCGTTATTTTGTGGACCCGTCGACCCGATTAGCCAATATCAAAAAGGGTTTTACTAACCAACACATTGTTACACACAAGCATACCAAAATTTCCACATGTATAATATGTATAAAACATGTTAGGCTTATGATATGACATGAATTTACATGCAATTTCATAAAGCTAAAATGCAAGAAAATATAAAATTATAATTGCAGGCTTTAGTCAAATATGCATAAAATTTTACAGTAATAAAATAAAACATTTAATTATTTTGTTACAAGCAACAAATAAATCTTATAGTAAGTACAAAAAAAAAACTATATGAAATAAAATTAGCAGAACTGACAATCCTACATAGTAACTATAGATCCAATATAAATAATAAGGATTAATGATCATGAGGATGAATGGTACGTTTAACCTATAACAAATAATAGTTACTTATCTTAAGGAGTCTAAAAAACAACTTCTAAGTGTTCAACAGTACAATTGGTGATCCTACAAAATTTAGAATTCAATATATAATGACTTGTATAATTAAAGACGTTAAATATAACTATTTATTAATTTGGTGCAACATAATTAATATATTTTATATATATATATATTATATTAGAATAAAAGTAGAGGAAAGAAAAAAAACAAAGGAAGATGATAGGCTCACGATGCTTGCTCAGTCGAGAAAAGAGGAACGAAGGATGGGGTTTTGGTCCTCTGTTGTTAAGGTTAACGAGAAAGAGAGGGGCGAGTGGGAGAAAAGAGTTATTGTGATTGTTGTTTTGATAGGGCGAGTAGGATGTGGAATGGTAATTCCCTACCGTTCAACCTGGGTTTATGGGAACTTGAGGCGGTTTGGGAACGAGAAAATTCAAAAAGGCAGTGAAATCATGGAAGTAAAGAGAAATCTTACAGGAGATTGCACGAGGTTCAAATCTAGGAGGCGACATGGGAATATTGCGGGAATCCTATGATTTGTGAGAGGCGGGGTGAGAGGTGATCACAATATCTTCCGCGTGATTCATGCTATAAAAAGAGAAAGGCTATTTGTGTGGCTCAATAGGGGAGAGGAAGGGTTAAATTTGGATCTTACACATCTCTTCTTCAATCTCCCAAGTTGCTTCTCGTCTTAACTGGGTCTTCCAAAGTACTAAGCCAAAAGGGATATATCTGTGGCAAAGTTTTCAAACTTCATGCTCTAAGTTGCGATCTGGTACTTTTTTCATAACTCAGTTCTCCTTGAATCATTAACGACTTATATATCAGATTATATGAAAGTTGTCATGCATTTAACGCCGAACTAGAGAGACATGGAAGACATTGTGTACTTTTGCAAGTTTTGGAGGAAGTGCTAAACGGTATAAAATTTAGTTGCCTCACTCGATCACCTTAAAGGGACAATTGGAGCAAGGCAAAGGCTTTCCATTATGGAAAAATCTTGTAAATCCGCGTATATGTGAAATCCTTAGAAAAACATGATCTACAATATTGAATTCAATCTCCTTGTGCTTTAGTTCCAAGTAGTTATAACAATTCTAGGCTGCATGTAGTCGAGCTCAAATCTTCTTTGTAACTTGATCTACTAACTGAGATTTGAATATTTTATTCCTACCATAAGTTCCTTATATGATGCCATGCCGGTGTTAGCCTGAAAGCTATTATAAGCAAACTCCACGAATAAAATATAATTCTCTCAACTACCTTCAAAGTCTAAAATGTAAGCTCTCGACAAGTCTTTTAAAGTCTGACGACGACACACTTCAATTGTCCGTCTAAGGATGAAAAGAAACACTAAAGTCCAATCTTGTGCCCATAGTATCATGGGCTTGCTTCCATAACCTGGAAGTTTTTCATCCCAATTTAGTATAATAGCAGTTGGGACTCCATGCAGTTAAATGATGTTATCTACGTAGATCTTGACTAATTAATGCAATGAACATGTCGACTTTATTGGTAAAAATGAGTTGGCTTAGTCTATCGACTACAACCCTAATAACATCGTGTCATTGCTTCAATCTAGGCAAGCCTACCATAAAATCCATGAAAATTTCTTTCCATTTTCACCCTGGAGTGGGAAGAGATTCCAACAAGCCACAATGTTCTGATGTTGGGTCTTGACTATCAGACAAGTCAAACACTTAGATTTGAACTCAACTACATCTATTTTATACCTGGGCATCAAAATAACTTTTTGAGATCTTGATACATCTTATTACTTTCTAGATGAACATAATATGAAGTAGAATGTGCTTCACAAATTATCTCATGTCGAGGTTCTTTCTGATCTATTATACACTTCTGATCTTGAAATCTCAAATTGTCATCTTTAGCGAAACTGAATTCTGGTTTCAACCCATCAAGCGTTGCTCTCATGGTTGTAGTAAGTTTGTATCCATCATATGTGTGCACAAATGCGATTCACAAGTGTAGGATGAATTGATAACTGACACTTGATAGGATTTAGCTCATGTTGGTACTATCTCGAGCTGAAGTTGCTCCATCTTCCATGCTAACCGATGCTCCTGAATGATCAACCAAGCGCGTATGTTTAATATTTTCTACTTGAAGCATTTGTGATAACATTCATCTTACCGTAGTGGTACTAAATTTCTAAATAATAGTTCTTCATCAACTTGGGCCATCATCTTTGTCTCAAGTTCAACTTCTGAGTGAAAATGTACTCAAGCTTTTATGATCGGTAAAGGCCTCACAACGAACGCCTTAAAGTTAGTCTTCAACTATTCAAGGGAAAGGCAACTGATCGATTTGTCATGGGTAGGATAATTCTTCTTGCACCTTTGAGTTATCTAGAATCATAAGCTACAATTTTGCCATGCCGCATTAGAACACATCCCGACCGTTGATGTAAAACATCACTATAAATTTGAAATACATTTATGCCAGAAAGAATTGTAATAATTGAGGCTACTAAATAATTCTCGAGTTTCTCAAAACTCTGCTCACAAGCATCAGAACATTCAAACTTAATAACCTTTTTAGTCAACGAGGTGCAAGAAAGCGATAGAAACCTTCAACAAATCTTCGATAAAATCCAACTAATCTAAGGAAATTATGAATCCAGGTGACATGACTCCGTCTTGATCAACCCATTATTACCTTATTCTTTGTAGGATTCACAAAAATTTCATTTTCACTGACAAT